TCTGTTTAAAATCTGTTTTTCCGTTAATCAGCTGTCGCCCCCATACGAACGACAACTCTCAGAAGTTGAGAAACTTGTGCGAGCTAAGGACTAACGAGGTCTTACCTTTTAACGTGTGATTCCTAACACGGTATGCACTAATGATACTAATTATTTTTTGTTATTGTTTTTTCAACAGAATAAGTTTGCCAATTTGAATGATAACGATCAGCCTGTTTATATTCCTAACTGACGACATACAAGCACTTTAAATCTCACTAATATAACATGGGGGTGAAAAAGAATTAATATTTGTGATTTCACTAAACTCATTGATTTCTCAATTGATTTTTCAAAAAATACAGAAATAACTCATTATATGTCTACGTTAAAAGATGAGAATATACATGTTTTTTTTGTTCCACTGTGAAAATTGAAATATTTTGATTGAAAATACCGAATTAATGAACGGTTGGAAGAAAAAACGAAATCAACTTTTACCACTTTATTTTTCTCATACTTGCTTGGAGGTTTACATATTCATTTCATGACATTATTACACTCGTTCACATTATCACAGTCGAAATAAGCTACTACTTCGCTTCCAAACTCCATACATAATTTTTAAATTATTGATGTTACACTATCGTACTCTTGTAAAACTAAAATGCCATCGTTTTCGGTTCCATTATTTTCATATCATTAATAAAAATCAATCTAATAGTTAATTGATAGTAAAAATGCTAACGATGTCTCAAAACACTTTGTATCGGAAATTGTTATTTTGTTGTTACTATTGACCACTTTTGTTTTCTTTTGCTGTCCTCTCTTGAAAAGAAGTAATTGATGAACCCGACAGTGAACTTTTGTCTCTCTACGAATATTCGTACGTTCAAATTAAGATGATTTTCTAATGTATTTGAACTTTTTGGAGCAAAATCCTCGTAACATAATTTTAACAGAGATATAGATCAAAGAAAAGCAGTTACTCGTTGAATTTCTCATGCCGTTCTGGAAATAAATCAGGGGGTAATTTTTGTTCTTAGTACAATAAAATCAATGAAAGTGAGACAGTTGAATATGCGAATTGCTGAATGCATGGCTACGAAGACAATAATCGAAAACGCGGTTTTCATGGGGCTATATCGTTCACATACACGAATATACGATTTAACTTAAAACCAAATGCTAAGCGAACTTGATAGAGATAAGTTTGTAATTTTGGCTGAAGATATAAACAGAGGCATGTTGACTGCATCATCTACAGAGTAAAACAATTTGATGCATTCTAAAGGTACATTCAGTTTATTCAAGAAGCTTTGAAAATATAATATTTAATTAGTTTGTGTGTGTGTGTGTGTGAATTTGTGTATGAGTACAGACACATTTATACTTTTATACAGGGTAATTCAAATTCAATCCCCACAATTGGGATCTCCTGAACTACAGGAGATATGACGAAGATTAAATTGAGGCAAAGTTGCGTTTTTTTTATGCTTGAAACTTGAAAAATTCCGAGTATTTCCGGAAATATTCTGAAAGTTGGAATTTTCTTTTTTATTTTTTTCTAGTGTTATTTGACAACACAGCTCAAAACCAAATATACATTTTCATTGATACTTTTTTACAGCTACACGTTTTCATGTTCAAATCCACCATCAGACGCTTCGTCTTCTGGCAATCATCAGCAACTTTTTTTTCTATTATGCACGCCATATTGGTTTTTTATACAGAAAAATTGTGCTTCTCATTCATATTTCATTGATGTGCAATTTGTTATGATTTGCTCTTCTGAAACCACATCATCTGAGATGGTAATAACTCCATCGAAAAATTTTGTTTAATGAACACTAGTTAGAACTCAAACATCATAAGTGTACACAAATACTTCAGTCGAAATGTCCTCATTCTCAAATGAAGAAACATTAGATAAGTTGAAACTTTATTATACATTTGAAAGGAATAGTGCAAAAACAGCACAAATTTATTTTGAATTATATCCGGAAAGACAACAGCCGGATAGTACATTATTCGGTATTTTGGACAAACACTTATCTTGGTACGAATCGAAAAACGATAAAAGTTTGTTTCATAAATCCACCTTACATAGGATACCCGGAACAAGAGGCTAATGATCACAATGGTCAATGTTATTTACACTGAAAAAAAAGTGACAATAATCCAATACATATGCCATTTTTTTGGAATGGTTTACGGGTTTTTGTCTTCTTTGGTTATGATTTCCAAACGTTTCGACTGCAACTGCGGCAGTCATCTTCAGTGGTTAGTCTTATTGAAGTGTCAACTATCAGTTGACACGTCCAGTTGCGTTTTTTTGTGCTTAAAAAAAATACTGTTTTGAAACTTGGAAAATGCCGAGTATTTCGTAAACAGACGCTATCCGAAATATTTATGGGTTCCTTTAGTTCCAACTGTGTTATAGAGAGCGCAGACATTAAATTTGTTTTTTGACAATTAGAAACAATTTCTACCGATGATGTCGCTACTTAGGTGACAGCTGATCAAAATAATTAAATGTTGAACATAGGTTTTGGCTAAATGCGCCGTACGAAAGCAAAAGCCAAGAAAACCTAGAGAGAGAACATGAGTTATGTTTATTGTTTTTTTTTTTTTGGAGTTATTTTATTGTGAATTTTTTAAAGTAATTTTGGTTAATGCGATTATTGTAGACATGAGAAACTGATGAAAAGGTAAAATAAATTACTTTCACTCACGAGAAGCACAAGAAACCACAACAATATATAAAAACAATTGACAGGACACTTCCCGATAGACGGATTGAGACTGTGTTTACCTTGATCGTCACTTTCTTTTTGTTAGTGTTTTTTTACATATTGGAGGTATATTATATTGCATATGTATTAGATTTTCACATTTTTTTTGTGTCAACGCCATCAACGAACTTTAATTTTCACGATAAAAGATGACCTGACCACTTTCAACGGTAAAGCAGCTTTAACAAGTGGAAGCTGGTAGACGTAAGCAATGACAGTGGTGTTGAATGCAGTGATGCCAATTTGCGTGTAATTACACGAAATGCGTGTAATTTTTACCCCTTGCGTGTAATGGAATTTTGCGTGTAATTTCTGAAGTAGCTCATATTAGAGAGAAATGAGAAGAAGAATAATAAACCTGAAAAGTGATGTATCTTAATATTCTACTGATTAACACATTATCACACAAACAGATTTTAGATGCAGACTAATCCATAGAAATTTCGGGTAATTTCATATTCATTAATCAAGAAATTTGTAAAAGCGTGCTTCTCTCTGGAAAGTATGTGAAGTCATACTTTTTTTTAATTGAAAAAGAGCTCGATTCGACTATTCCTATTTGTAAGTAATCGAAAAACTGTGGTGTCAAAAATGTTTGGCATTCTTCATCGATGATTTTTCTAGTATGTGGAATTTTGAGTTTGTTGGACACCTTTGCTCTCAGAGATATATCTATGTGATATATACAGGATGATTCACAGTGAATAGCACATTAGATGTTTCTGGTGAACGAGACACCGGATCACTTTGAAAATTCAATAGAGAGCATTTTCGGACATTCTCTACCCAAAGGAAATATTTTCGAAAATGCGGTGTTGCCCTCTTCCATTAGAAAGTAGTAACAACTTTGATTTTTTTAATGGAACACCTTGTATATAATATTTTCAGAATATACAACAATTACCCGACAACTTTTCTTGATATTTCTCTATACCTGTTAACGTTTTCGAAATATGAATTGATTTCAACTTTTTTCTTTGGAAATAATGACCTCTAAAAATCCTTTGAGTCAAGGAATTCAATGGTACCGAAATTTGTTTTGGAGTTAGATAATACTTGAAGGCTTTCCAAGCTCCAGCATAATCTCCGTTACTTCAATACAGGGTGGTAAAAAAATAGTTATTTCGTTCACTTCAAAAAGTGACTGAAATTTAATTATTTGTTTTATTACAAATTCAGAAAGTTGTTAAAATTTGCTTTCTTTTTATCATGCATATACCTAACTACATTTATTTATTACCTAACATGAGCATTTATTCATGAAAATGTCCCATCAGAATGATATTCCCATTCCGTATTTTGTAAGCAGGCCATGATTACTATTTGACAGTAACATTGTGATATTCTCCCAATAATATTTACATTTTCGTCACTACAGAAGTTTCAAGTACCTTCAAAACGATGGAACAGTGTGATAAAATTATCAGTAGGACATGTCAAATATTCAATTCATTTGTTGTTTTTCATCTAAGGATCATTATTCAAGTTTATCATAAATGAACACTTGTTTTGATCCATATACAGATAATGATTCCAGAAAACTCCAAAACCGTCTGGATGATCTAACGATAAAATAATTTGAGAAGATTATAACTGCATTACCCTGTTGAACCTGGGGGATTCACAAAAATACACTGGGAGCCTACTATTAATAGGTTTTTGATTCACCCTTCATTTCTCCGTTGATGGTTGCTGTCCAACATCTAAGCACTTTTATTATTTTATAAAACACGGATGCTAATTAATTAAAAAGTACAAACTAAGCAAAAATAAAATAGTTGAAAAAAATTGACGACTGACAGCCATGCCCCGATGTCATGAGTAATTCACATCAATCATGAGATTGTAAATAGTGCGTTCCACTAAGCGTTCACAACAATCTACTCTTAACCGCAGTTTTCCCGCTTGCAAGCTGTCTTAAATTCAAGTGGAATGGATTATGGAGCGTTTTGGGCGTTCATGTGAAAATTACAAATATGACAAGGTTGATATTTGTTGATGCGTCATGATAGTGCTCCAGAAACTAGTTCATTTATCGCAGAGGAAGAGTGGAATGCAACTTTACAAAATTATAATCGTGAAAACCGAAAACTAGGTCACATATTATTGATTATGAGAATGTAATTCATCGTTATTCAGATGAAGGATTCAAAAGCCATTTTGGGTACATGCTTTTCTATCACGTATTACATTGAATATTTCAAAAATGTCATGTCTTTACTCTGTCCAATTGCCCAACCAAGGAACGGAGTGCTCCAAAACATTAACATGCTTAACGCACATGATCTCCCAGACAAGGCTGCTTGTACAGAGTCGCACTAAGGAATGACCGACATTTTTATTTGATTTTTTTTATTATATACGGCTGGGTATAGAAAAATTTTTAGGTGAAGTGTAGTGACACATATTAGACGTTTTTTCACCCGTATTAGTACTTGACATTTGAAAAATTTTAAACGTGAATTTCCGTATATATAAACACCACAGGTATTAAAACGTAACTGACTCAACTACACTGTAACAATGAATTCTGTCAACTGATAGCAGTTGAATCTGAGCGACCAGCGTAAGAAGGCTTATTTATTTCACCCAATAGATGCAAATGTGCGTCGTGATTATGCTTTGATTACGCATCTATCATTGTTTGGTTTGCTTTTTTGTTGGATGTATTAAGTTTCATATCTACATTTCATGTTATATTTCAAAAACAATTTCAAAAATTGCGCAGAAATATTCTCAACTTCTACTTTGACCCACCTCTTCAGAAGAATAGCTGTGAGTAGCTGTGAGCTTGCCGTGAGCGAAAGTTATGACATCATGAGTTTTCGCCGCGACCACAACGATCACTGTCGTTATGTGGGACAGCTAAGGAGCATTTTGAGTGCTTAGTGGAACGCACGGAGAGAGAATTAGTGTTACAAAAAAGCATCTATGAGAAAACGTTAAACGAAGATGACGCTAGTGTATCAGAATACCGTTTATTATCATATATTATATTGTTATAATATATGGTGGCTTCCTCTGGCTCTCAGCAGAATGCTTTCTCTCAGCTATTTACGGTAGAGGTGGGGAGAATCATCTCAAGTGGGGATTCAACTGAAAAAGTGTATTCTATCAAACGATAAATTATGGTTCAAAATTCGACCAATATGGCACCAATATCAATAGTGGCATGATATGAATTCAACAATTATAGAGAACGTAAAGTATGCTGCGTTCGATTATTTATTATTTTCAATGACTCGAATTGATAATGATATAGATCTTATTGAAATGTAACTATTTACGTGGTCGAATATTATTTGGTGAATATAACCTAACAAAATTATTGCGAGATAACGTTGAAAGTCAATTATTTGACTTCGATATTTCTTTTGAAAATAGTTCCATTTCAGAGCGTAAGTTCCGACTTCTGTATTATCTAGCTTTCTTTATTATTTAACTTTCAGCGCTTCATCTAAATTCACACTTTTGCTATAGTGGCGCCCCCCTAATTTAATGACTTTGGAAGACACTTTCTGATGCATAGAAATGATTGATCTCGCCTCTATGCTCTCAACAGGTTTCAAATGAACGAAAGGTTTACGAGCCGACTTTGGACAAGAGATGAGTACCTGCCTGAGGTAAGAAAAAATCCTTATTCCTCCGATGAAGTAACGTATTTAATTAGGCGAGTTCTCAAATTCTGTAGAGAATTGCTTCAACCAATAGAAACACACTAATATTAACACACTTCAATTTTATTCAAAATATTTCCCACGTTGAAAACAAGTATGTTATATTTTTGATGTAACCAGTAAAATTATAACAAAGTTCTTCTTTTAATTTTGGTTGAAACGTGGGTGATTCTGATGTTTCCACCAGTTCCTACCACAACTACATTATTCAAGCACAGATACTTTTACCCACTGAACAGTGTATAGTTCTGTGCCTACACCTAATCTGTGATTCACAAACCATCAATTAGTGAGGTTAGTAATAAGAGAACGCATATGTGTCACAGCTTACAATTGCGATTTGATTAGTTCAATGACAAATGCATCAGGTTTCAGTTTATCGATTTGCAATCATTATTTTGGATAGAATGATCTGGAATTTAGTCCATTTCAAAATCTTCATTGTCAGTGAAAGTTTTTTGATTGAGCAACAATTAAAAATACAATTTGATATCCTATAAGAAACTTGTTTATCACACCTACTTTTATATACACTTACCTTTGAAAATTAAGAAGTATCATATAAAGATATAGTCATCGAAATTATTATGATACACCAATCACAGGTATGCCGAGAATGTCTGGGAAAACTCTATATTTTATTTTCAATTCCAAAATTAGAATGTTAGTCTGCAAATTGATAATATAGTTACTGCAGTGACCTATATAGTAATCCCAATTTACGATACTTCAAGTGTATAAACACAGCTTTCCACAAAATTCGAGGGTAGCAAAGGTATGGAAAATTAGAATTCACAATCAGTAGATACACATCAACAAACTTAAGTGTGATTGTAGAGTGAACACATCGATATATTGGCAACTATCTAATCTATAGTATATTCTAGATACCAGTGATAAGAAGTTTGATATGACTGAATAATGAGTTATCCATTTAAGAAAATTCACAACAGAACATAGTTGTTTCAATTGAAAAATAAAAAAGTAAAAATTTTGTGGCTTTATTTAATATTTTATTATCGAGACGGATTGAGCATGATCTATCAGCTAATTATTATTATTATTAGCAGGTCTCAGCACATACTCACTCATTAACACACACAGTCACTCACACCCACGCACACACCCACACGCACCCACCGACACACACTCGCTCATTCACACACACACAATCACGCACGCATTGTGCCGAAGACGATTGTGGATACTAACAATCGAAACGTTGTGAAGGAACCTGGTTTGGAATCTTTTAATTTTATATTTTCGATTTTCATTTCTTGTTTTTTTTAATTTTTCAGCTCGTGTGAATACTACAATTTTTGTTGTTTTTTTGGTTGTTGCTTGTATGTTATTTCAGTTTTTTGCTTAATAAAATTCCCACTGTGGACCTTTGCTATTCAACATATTTATTAATGATCTAGCTACAATTATAAAACATAGTGAGATACTGATTTTCGCTGATGACGTAAAAATATTCAAATTAATTTCTTCTACAAACGATGTCTCACTCTTGCAAGAAGATTTGTCACAATTTTATGTATGGTGTGTTATGAATCAAATGAATTTGAATATATCCAAATGTTTCTGCCAAACATTTTCTTGAAATATTCACCCTGTTCTACATGACTACAGTATCAATAATATAACAAATAATAGGAAATCAGTGATAAAGGACTAAGGAATTATGTTCGATTGTGAATTGAACTTCAAATCTCATAATGAGTATATTATAGCTAAATCACTCAAGATGTTGGGCTTCATCAATAGATCATGTAAGAAATAGATCAGTTTGAACACTCAAGTTATTATATTGTCCATTAGTTAGATCATTATTGAAGTACGCTTCAATAATTTGGTGCCCATATTATGAAATACACATAAACCAAATTGAAGCTGTACAAAACACTTTCCTGAGAGATCAAAGCTAATCTTTTTTATTTTTTACAGATTCTTTCAGGGATTTCAAATCAATGTATATTATATTAGACAATGGAAGTCCGAACTGATGAAATGCACCACGAAACATTGTCAATCACCTTCAACACACAATATGATGAGTCTTTGAATTGGGATTTGTAATGTGATGGTGCTTTTAAGAAGCTCAATCGACTATTTTTTTGCGATAAAACAGAAAAAAACCATTTTGATCATGAAAGTCTATGAAGAATTTATTATGCAATGTCTTTTTCACACATTTTCCTGAATATCATGTCATGCGGTTGCAGTACAGGATTTGAATAGAGCAAAAACGGATCTTGAGAATGATTATTGATATGAAATATCGAAAAAGTTGCAAACTACTTTTTAAAAATGTACATTTATAAATGTATAGTTTTTGTCAGAAAGAACTTTCTTGACGAATGTTTATTTTAACAAAACCGAGTTCAAAAATTCACCTCTTTATAATGTCATCACCTTCTACAATAAACTGCAAATTTCGATTAAGAGAATTGAAAAATGCTACTACAGCTACCAGGAATACTTGAATGATGAGTTATACTAGTCTACAACAGTTTTTATTTGTCCGAGATTTTATATTATTTAAATGTTCCTAATTGTCTTGTACTAAAAATGGTCGAATAAATTATTATTATCATCATGAAGATGATTTACAATTAAAAAAAACATACCGCAACTCCCTCAAAGAAGATGTTTTTTCAACGGGTTTCTTATGTTAAACGACGCCCTTTCCGATGAAAAGAAAAATTGCGAAGTTTTCGCTCAGTTCAAGGGTATACTCAAAATTTTTCATTTTTTTTGTTGTTCCATGATGGTATTTCTCCAGTAATTAACGTGGAGATTTTCTTCAGAGACTTTGATTTGACGAGATTGAAAAATCTCTTGAACACAGGTACAGGCTATTTCATAAAAGGAAAAGATAAGGAAAAATCTTCTAAATGAAACAATACATATGATTCGATCGACTCGCATGTTGTAGTTTTGATTTGATATTGAGTATTCGATTTAATTGATGACAAAATTAAATTAAAATAGTGATACAGTCTTTTCTTTAGTTCTGCAAAACGGCTTTAGCGGACATGCTTTTTGGCGTGAGACATCATTGTTGACCTGGAAACGAACGCTTTTCCACACGTTTCACAGGGGTAGGGTCTCTCCCCGGTATGCAGTCTTTTATGAATAGCCATTGGGGTGAATTGCGTGAATGTCTGTCCACAGAGATCACAACTGAAAAAAAGAAATATCATTAGTATATGTGACACTTATGACTTGTGGAAATTCATGATCACTTTAATGAAATGAATAAAAACACTTGTAATTTCTACTAGTTATTTTATTTTTATGACCGGTTTCGGGTTTTATCTGGATATCAAATATAAAACTGGCATGAGAAATCTGAAAAATCGGTTATATCGGGGGTTTAAGACGAAACTCCAAGTATATATTTCACTGATTTTTTAAAATTTGACATAACATCTGACATAAAGCGCCTTTCCGACGCATTCAGCGCAGTGTTTTCCGCTTTTTGGTCCTAAACGCAACCAATAATAAGAGAAGAAAATGACATTGTTATATAACAGAAATTTTGTTAATTCGACAGTGCCATTCCTTCCAGCAGAAATAAAAGAGCGCGGATACCAGAATACATCGGATTATGCAGCTTTGCTGCAGCAAAGCTGCATAATACGATGTTATAATTAGCCTATGTAAGGTAGATTTAGGCAACATAATCTTTCATCGTTTTCACTTCATTTTTCGTAGTAAAAGAAAAACACTAAAAATAATGTAATACATATGCAGAACACCTCCAAAGTGTATAAGAACTAGTAAAATTAAATTGATGATCGACGTAAATACAGATAGTATCCGAAATATTTACCAGTTCCTTTACTCACAACTGTGTTATAGAAGGTGCAGACATCAAAAATTTGTTTTCACAATAGACACATAGAGGCCGTGCTTACGTTGCTCATCATTTTCATTTTGTTAGTGTTTTTTTACACATTAGAAGAGTTTTACATATGAATTACATTATTTTCACCATTTTTCTTCTTTCACTATGAAAGATGAAGTGAAAACGATGAAAGTTCATATTTCATAAATCCACCTCACATAGGCTATCCAGGACACGAGGCTAATGATCACAGTCATCAATGTCATGTATACACCTCCATTGTGTAGAAAAAAACCACTAAAAAATGAAAATGATCGATGTAAACACAGACGCTATCCAAAATATTTACTGTTTCCTTCAGTTCCAACTTTGTTATAGAGGGCGCAGGCAAAATTTGTTTTACCAATAGGAAACAATGTCTACCGATGTTGGCGCTATTCAGCTGACAGCTAATGGGAATAACTGAATATTAAACATGGGTAAGGTATATTGTTTGGGGGATTTTGTGTTTCAAGTTATTTGATTGTAGATTTTTGAAAAAAAAAATGTTTAATTGCGTTTATTATTTATTATAGACTCGAGAAACTAATGAAATCACTTTCACTCACAAGAAGCACAAGAAACAACAACAATATACGGAAACAGCTGACAGGATTTTTTGTTTTACCTTCCGACTTAGTTTCAATTTGTTCCGTAGATATCGTATCTCGACGATCAACTTCTCTCCACCCTAACAAAACTTATCCAGAACACGAGACTAATGATCACAGTGGTCAATGCCTATGACAACGAAAAAAATATTGGTGAAAATAATCTAATACCTATGTATGCAAAACAACTCCAATGTGGAAGAAACACTAACAAAATAAAAATTATGATCGACATGTATGTTATATGATATTATAACTCAAATATAACATGTATACAGCCGCTGTATAAAAAATTTACCGGTTTCTTTAGTTTCCACTGTGTGTGTTGTTTTGACAATAGATGCGTTTTTCACATATACAGAAAAAAATGTTCATCATGTCATTCCATGTGAATGGACCAGTTGATTGATTCGATATATTCTGGTATAACGTTTTGAATTCGGCAATTACCTACTCGTCTGCCACTTTCAACGGTAAAGCAGCTTTAACCAGTGGAAGCTGGTAGACGTATGCAATGTCAGTGGTGGTGAATGATGACCTTGAGCATCCATTATTCAGGGGAATTACTGATGTATGGAAATTAATAACTACTACATTGAAAACTGACTGAATTATAAATAAGTCGTAATATCGGTGCCTGTATGTGATTAAAGTTTGTGGATAATAATACTGGTTGAAATAAAATGAGTTATTCCTTGGGAAAATTGTTAGATTCTTTCAGCAACTTGGGAGTGGATTGTAAAACAGCTAAAATTGAGAAAAATTTCAACTTCTTGAATGAGATTGGTCATCATATAAGTTACTCAAATGGAAAAAGACTGAATTTCACCAAAGTATATGAAAAGGAAATCCTTGCTCCTCATGTGAGTGAATATTTCAATGTTAACACTATATTCGATCGTACCATGAGCATCCTGCGCATTCTTGGTTCGAGACATGTTAGGAAAATCGAAAGAATTGAAAATCCTTTCCTTTACGCTCAGTATCAACTGAGTATGTTGAAGAAAAAATGGAGATATGGCAGCGTGAAAGAACTTACTCTATTTCATGGAACCAAATCCACCTACATCGATTCCATTTGTAAAAACAATTTCGATTGGCGTAAGATGGGATGCCATGGTTTTAGATACAGTAAATTTGGTAGAGGCATGTCTTTTTCGCCAAGCGCAAGATACGCGTCGGATTATCCTCGAAGATGCCATGAAAATCCAAGGATAATGTTTGTTGTGAAGGTTTTGGAAGGATCCAGATGTCTTGGAGTTCCAGATTTGGTAATACCCCCTGAACCACATGACACATCAGCTAAAAGCGATGGTGATGTTGTTGTCAAGTATTTTGACAATGAGTTTTATCCAGAGTATATCATAAGCTACACATAATTTCTTTGAGAGAAGTAAAGAAGTAGATTTTTATTTTTGAAGATGATGTGCCTATTAGAAAATTTTGCCAAAAAATAGCTCAAGTTTTTCAGTTTACCAAAGTATATCGTAAAATTATTTGAGTTTGATATATTTTTTGTTTAAAAGCAGTATTATTGGATTCAGTAATGTTCACATGATATTTTATGTATTCAATAAATATTTTTATTTATCCAGTGAATTTTATGGTTTTCAGAAATGTAATGATATTTTGGTTCAACTATCTGCTTTATTCTTTTATTTCATCACATTTTACGTTCAAAGTTGCAAAATCTAGAGTCAAAGTCAGAACCTGTTACTCTTACTCAAAATAAAATATTTCCAAACCACCTTCAAATGATTAAAATCCTATATAGTTCATTTATTTCACTTATATATAGAAATATGAATGCCGAAGTTATACTAAATGTATTGAAGGTTCCAGAACAAGTCTATCCTACTTATTTGGACTTGTAACGTATCTACGGGATTTGTATAACTGGAATCTTTTGCTTGAAATTAATCTATTAAAAACACTTTTTCCACACCAGAACAAAATACTGTCTCACAACATGCATTTTGCTAATCAAGTTAGCATCCTCAGGAAAAAACTAGAACTAGAAGTGTTTTAATAGTCGTTTAAATATTTGAAACCTACAAAAAAAGAGTGAAATATCTAAAGATTGCATTGTTAGAAAATAATGGAAAAGGTGTCAATTAATATATTACGATATACAGTGTCCCACATAAAGTTTGCGACATATGGAAGTTATTTTTTTATTAACAGATATAATGAAAATTTGATTTCACATTTAGTTTGTGCTTGAAAAAATAAGTGAAAAACATCCTCTTTTCTTTTGTCATGCGCTACTCTAAAGTTATCAAATTTGACATTTTTTTCGAAAATCCTCAAAAAATCCGTCTTTTTGGAAATTTCGAAAATTGCCACAAAAAAAAGTTGTTCGGTTTTCAATTTTATATACGTGCTTGAAATTTAGACTTTCTACTGTCACTTCGACTTTTTTCAATTTTTCCAATTTTTCGCTCTATCGATTCAAACGAAACATGATTGATATTTCATAATTTTGATGAATACGCGACTTCAATGTCATATCTTGCCCAGAAAATACCCGGAAATTCGTCTTTGTTGTTGCAAAGTTAATCTAGTTGTTTCATTTTATTGTAAAAGTGATTCAGATTTTCAATGTATATACGTTAATATGTCAGTAAACCAAATAAATGTTATTTCTCATGATTACTGCATAAATAACACACCTCTTCAAATAAGTACTCATCAAAGGGATCTTGGCGTCACATTTGACCCCAACCTGAGTTTCTCCATACACTATGACACAATAACATGCTCAGCCAAACGGATGCTAGGTCTCATCTATCGTAACTGTAAAAACTTTCATAGTAGAGAGAGTTTTTTAACTCTTTTCAATGCATACGTCAAATCTCGGCTGGAATATGCCTTCCTTATATGGTCACCCAAATCAATGTCCACATAAACAAAATCGAGTCCATACAAAGAGGCTTCTTGAAATATATCACTTACAAGCTAGAAGGCGTTTACCCTGAAGAAGGCATCGACAACAGACTACTGAATAAATTTAATCTTTTATCCCTTCAAAACCGAAGAACCTACTACTCTATAATTTTCATTTATAAACTAGTGAATAATCTGATTGACTGTCCTGAACTGCTCTCCCACTTCCACCAATTAATTCTAGAAATGAACTGACTTTTTATCTACCTAATTCCAGAACAAACATATTACTCAAGTCACCAGTTGTTGCAATGAGCAAACTCTACAATCAATTCTGTGAAAATCTCGACATTTATTATGAACCTATTGGTCAAGTTAAGAAGCATGTTAAGAAACTTTTACACTCTAGTCAAAATACATGAGCCTAACTTGAAAGTTACTCTACCATGTGAGCTTATTACTACTACAGCCGAATTGTTTTTTTGTAATACACTTGAACTATGTTTTTACTTATTAGCTCCACGTCTGACTTATGTTTTTTTTCAATTACTCTCCTAGCTTGCTGCACATTAGTTTTCACCTAATTTTTTGCTTAACTCTCCTAAATGTTTCCTTTATTTTTTTTTTGTTTACTCTCTTTGGGTGTTTCTAGTTAGTATATGTCTTGTTATTGGGATTTATTCCTGTTTAGACATTAAACATTTTTTTAACGTATTTCTCTTCATTCTTATTACACTCGTATTCCTTTTTTTTAGCAGATTTGTATTCCATTAGCTGTAGATGAGTTCGAAATATTTTGATGCAGTTTATAATCAACAGTGTGACTGTTGGATGTAAACTGTTAGATGTAGTTATCGAGCAAATAATAATGCTTCTTGAATTAATTTCATAAACTTATATTCTTTATTTTCAATATTAGATGTGTGAATAACATTTAAACTAAAAATAACCTTAACTAAATTCACAACAAAACATCATAACATTCTTTGATTTATCTCAATATTCTTATGAAGAACCCGAATTCATCATTCAGTATGCCGTCCTTCCCGTTCTATACAAATTATAGTCCTTTCATTCAGATTTTGTGGCATTTTCAATAAATAGGGGATTTATGTTAGCACAACACTCCCGATTGGTACTCTCTAAATGTTCTTTGTTTGCAGATCGTCTGTGCTTATACACTTTTTGTGTCAGATAACCCCATAGAAAAAAGTCCATCGGAGGTAAGTCCGGTGATCTTGGTGGCCAATAATCTTCCCAATCTTGTCCTATTAGGTTAGATTAGGTCTAAAGTGAGTGGGTCTATTCGACCTTCCACCATAACCCACAAGGGTTTATTGTGGGTCACACCTATTCACATTTGATCAAATGAACCCAGCTTCTTAACGAAGCCGATGAGTTTGTATGATCTTTCAGGTCAGATGGTAAGAGTACGGCTCTGTCGAACTCTAAAAACCTGATTCAGTCCCCTGTGGGGCAAGCACAAAGTATGTGCTCTGCTATTTCATCATTTTCCAAACAGAGGCGACACACACTATCTTCCGACAGTCCGAGTCTCTGCATATGATGGTTCAAATGGCAGTGACCTGTAAGCAGGCCTGTTAGACATCGCAGTTCATCCCTTCTCTTTGGTATCAAGTTTCGAAGGGTGAATAAACACCTTGGAGTGAGTCCGTAGATCTTCTTGCCATCCTGGTTTAATCAGTTTAATTTTACTCTTGAAGATGATCACTTAGTGATCGAAATACGTGTCTAGGTATTAAAATAACAGTTTGGTTTTGGGATAAAACTCCAGTAATATTCAGAGATAATAATAATAGTAATTATAAATGTCATTTATTGGTGAATAACAAAGGGCCATCGACCGAAGCCCTTCAGCCAGTGTACAATTTTTAAATATTTACAGTGACTTTTCATATGCTTACATAATAGAATTGAGGTACATTAGATTCGTGAAAAAAAAAGATTCTATAATAAATTATGAGAGTGACTTGATGTTTTCCCAAATAGTTTTTTTCGGGTATTTCAATTTGGTTGGTTGTCCTTCAGCTCTTTTCCTACATAATGCCTGCAGGGTCTCCATGTTAGTTTCGTTTTTGGCAAAGCGGTTTTCTAAGGTGTTTATAGGTGTTTCACTTCTGTAGTTTCATATAGCACTGCGTTTGAGGGATTGTGTAGAATGATCTGAGGGTGACGCATTATGGCAATACTTCTTAGTGTAGCCGTTTCAGCAGTTTGGAGATTATTTATTTAATGCAGGATTACAACAACTTAAATAAATCGTGTGTGCATAGTCGAGAAGTGGATGGCAGATCATTTTATATATTTTAGTTGCAATTTTAACAGAGATATGGATCAAAGAGAAGCAGGTTTCTCTTTATAATATAGAAAGTTACTCATTGAATTTCTTATGCCGTTCTGAAAATAAGTCAGAGGCTGTAGTCATTATTTTTGCTTGCTTGGCCACAGTACAATACAACCAGTAGACTCTCTTACCACGTGATCCGCCAGAGTTGCCGGAGACCTTCAACCTCTCTTAGGATGAAATTCTCATCCAACGCATTCAGTGCTGTAGTATCAAAGGATTCGACCACGGGCATCAGATTAGTTGTAAGAAACGATCGAAAATTGATATTGTGTTTAGTTTGTTCGCTGTTGTTATTATTGTTTTTAGTTTTGTAGTTGGTTGTTTTTAATGACACTCTGGATACATCTACTGAATATCTTTTTTAGACTTTTTTATTTGAATATGAAAGCTTTGTCGATGAGATCTGTGCTTCTTGGAAATTGAAGTAGTTTTTATTGATCGAATGAAGTTGCCTTACCTTAAAGTAGCAGTCTAGTATTTAATAAATAACGGATTATTTCCACAAAAACTTTTGCAACAGGCATTTCAAGGTAATTTTTATTACATTAACAATATTTCATAGAAACTTCAATTGAAATATCTTCTTGGCAGTTTCTTCATTTTCCTAGAGTTTTGTACTGCCACCTTGGGATAGTGGTCAGTTTGAATATTGTTTCATCAAGTTTGAAAGTATGAACTTTGAAATATACTGATAAAATTTTTGTTTTTACTATTGCAAAATTTCTCATTCAATTGAAACTTTTAATAATTCTAAAATACAAATCATGAAATTATAAAACAACAACAAAAATTAATTGGCGCTCCGGGGCAACTTCATTGATTCCAGTGGCGCATTTGCTTTTTCAGCTGCAGGAAAACCCGTAATTTGTTGCTGAAAAGTTTTCCAACTTTGCAAAATACAAAACAAGAGAGTAAAATAGAAAAATAACACATTAAAACAGAAAATCACTCACCTGTAGGGTCTCTCGCCAGTGTGAGAACGTCTGTGGCAACGAAGAGCATCCCTCCTTGCGAAAGCTTTGCCGCACATCTCACAGATGAAAGATTTTTCTCCTGTGTGCATCGTCGAATGAATCTTGAGATCTACTCCAGTAAGAAAGCCCTTGCCACATACCTTCATTAAATAAAGTAGCTTCGATTAGACGTTTTTCATGAATAGAAAAAAGCTGTGACAAATTTACCAGCAATCCATTAAACAAATCAGTTGCGCATATGACTGCCACAGTATCTTGTAAATTCTTCTTATAAGATATTATTATCAACAACCAATGATATTAGAGGAAAATAAACCATATCATTTAGATGGACTGTTTAAAAAATAAGGTTAAAGTTCAAATTTCGCGGGCTACATACATTTGATTAGCGATTTTTATTTTTTTTTATACACCCATCTAAACATATGTTTACATATTCAGTTTTTTATCATGTTTAGTTTGTTGGTGAGAGGTATAAAAGTTAGAATTGTTTTGCGTGTTCGGCGATTTTCTGTTATCGAAAAAATGGATCAAGAAATTTGCATCAAATTTTGTGTAACAAATGGAATTAAGTGCTCAAAAATAATTGAAATGTTGACAGTGGCATACAGTGATTGCACTCTGACTAATAAAAAATTGTGTATAAGCTTTTTACAGAAGGTCGAGAAGATGTGAATGACGACGCTTGCCCTGGACGCCCCAGCACATCAACTACCGATGAAAATGTTGAGAAAGTTGAGAAAATTTTATGAAGAATCGTTGAATCACTATTAGAGAAGTAGCTGAGGATGTTGGCATATTGGTTAGCTCATGCCATGTCATTTTTTCGGAAATGTTAGATATGACGTGTGTGGCAGCTAATTTTGTTCCAAAATTGATGTATTTTGACCCAACAAATCGTCGCATCACTCAGAAATTGTTGAATTACGTCAACGGCGATCCATATTTGCTTGAAATGGTCATAACTTATAACGAATCATGGGTATATGGTTATGACATCAACACCAAATTTCAATCGTCCCAATAGAAGAGTCCAGAAAAGCCAAGATTACCATGGTCTAGTGCAGGGGTCGGCAGGTAGTTTTAGGTGGAGTCTGGATACTGTGGAAAAATGTTGACGAGGTCCAGAAAAAACAACTGATAAAAATTAAGTGCTACTTATGTCTTATTTTGGTTTCAAATCAAATTCTGAATTATAAAACACAAGACCTAAAATTAATGTGAGAAATTACACAGACAGTCTTGAGCCAGTTTTTCATAGTTTGGTTCTCGAGAGGAACAGAAAATTCGAAGTGTATCTTCTAGGTGGGTGTTCGTTAATTTCGAACAATATTTGTTTTTCAAAAAATTCATCGAACATTGGTGTCAGTAAGTCAGAATACGCTGAATCACATTCAGAAAGAAACTCCCTGAAATGTCGGTGCTGAAGACCAGAATTCTCATAACATTAATCAACTTGACCAAGCTGTCCATCACTTTTTTCAGTGTAGCGCTAAGTTTTCCACAAAGGGCTGCCTGGTGAATTGTGCAGTGATACGATATTAGACCTGAGTTTGTATTCCTGATTCTCTTTACTATACCTTTTTCTTTCCCAATCATTGCTGGGGCCCCATCAGTTGAAATTGCTGATGAGTTATTTCATAGTGTTGGTTCAAATTGCCACTCATAACAATAGGGACAGTTTTATTGCATATAAGGCACAGTGGAACCGCTTGAGGCCTATCAGGCAGCATATAACAATATTGTTCAATCCATTCTGCCAGAAAACTCCTATTTTCACTGTCCACTTTACGCTTTTTAGGATCCATATGAGCATAGGTACGAAAATATTATGAAAACGTGAAAAATCCCAAAAAAATTAATGGTTGCTCCGCGGTTTGCGCTGCGACTGAGTCTGCTTGTGTCGCAAGCGGGCACAAACAAACACACACACACACAGGGTAGATAGGAAACTAATAAAACCATATCAGTTGTAGGTACTTGTAAAACAGGTTGACTAGGCAACTTGACATAAAATAGGTACATACTAAGTTGAATTCTATGTGGCTTAAAAATATTACTTTAATTAATAAAGGTATGGTATACCTTATCTATGTATTAATTTATACTTGGTATATAACACATTACAATATTTGGCGGTCCAAAATTCGACCTTTCGCGGTCCGCAAACGGACCCCGGTATATTGCATCAAGAGTTCTTGCCACATGGTCGTACGGTCAATAAGGAGTATCATCTTGAAGATAAGCGAAGCTTGCGAGAAGCAATACAAAGAAAGCGTCCAGTATTCTGGAAAAACAATTCATAGTTTTTGCATCACGATAATGCAACTCCTCACTCGTCATTGCTTGTTTGTAACTTTTTGGCCAAAAACAACACCGTAATCATACCCCAGCCACCGTATCTACCAGATTTGGCCCCCTGCGACTTTTTTCTGTTCTCAAGATTAAAGAGACTCATGAGAGGACGCCTTGTTGCGACAATTGAGAAGATAAAAACCGAATCGCTGAGAGAGCTCAAGGACACACCAAAAGGTGCATATCAGAACTGATTCGAAGATTAAAAAAAACATCGGCACAAGTGTATTACATCTAAGGGGGACTACTTCGAAGGGGACAAAATAGAAATGGATGAATAAATTAATATTTTTTGAGAAAAATGAAAATTCACCTTATTTTTTGAACAGACACCGTATACCCAAGTCTAAAATGCGAGGTTACTGCAACCATTCCTTAATTCATGATGGTTTTGAATGTTACGCCATCTTCATTTTTGAAAAAGTATGCTTGCAAGAGAAACATATTAGCAAGTTTAACACTGTCTTTTCGCAATACTCTGGCAACAGACAAAATACAATTAAATTATCTATACAAAATTCGATGTTTCTGAAGGAATTACTAATTTATACTAATGTGAAATTTTCAACCAATTACCTAAAAATATAGGAGGATTCTAACATTTTGCCATTTAAATGAAAATTGTATAATCTTGCTGAATTCCACTTATCTGAACATTAAAATTATCATTTGAGATTTTTTTATTACTACTGGATACATCTAGTTAACTGTATTTTCTGCTTACCTCGCACATGAATGGTTTCTCTCCCGTGTGTATCCTCAGGTGCGTCTGCAAATAGCTTTTCGAGACGAACATTTTGTCGCAGATCTTGCAAGAATACTTCCTATTATCTAATCCCGAATGAATCTTTCTATGGGCCCTACACAAACCTGTGAAAAATGTTATAACAAGTTTTTTTTTATACACATATCTAAATATATTCAACTCTGATGCAAGATGAAATAATACAACTTTGTCAACGAAATAATGCACATACCACTTCATCAAGAGTACATAAAGTTCAGAATGCATGTACAAGATTGATTTTTGGGTTAAAATTCAGAGATCATGTGTCTCCTTTCATACATCAGATAGGGTGGCTGAATATATTCAACAGAAAAGAATTCCATCTAGCTAGATTAGGTTAGGTCCGAAGTGAGTGGGTCTATTCGACCCTCCACCGCAACCCGCAAGGGTTTATTGAGGCTCACACCTATTCACACTCGACCAAATAAACCCAGCTTCTTAAAGGAGCCAATTAGTTTGTATGGTGAGTGGTGTTACAGGTCAGATGGTAAAAGTACGGCTCTGCTGAATTCTAAAAACCTGATTCGGTCCCCAGCGGGGCAGGCACAAAGTATGTGCTCTGCTGTTTCATCATTTTCCAAACAGAGGCAACACACAGTCTTCCTACAGTCCGAGTTTTTGCATATGATGATTCAAATGACAGTGACCTGTAAGAAGGCCTGTTAGACATTGTAGTTCATCCCTACTGTAGTCCAACAACTGTTTGGTATCAAGCTTCGAAGAGTGAATAAACGCCTTGAAGTGAGCCAATCCTGGAAGATTCTGCCAGAAGTCCATGAATCTTCTTGCCATCCAGGTGTTCAATGTTTGGCAAAGCCTAAAGCAATGCCAATGACAGGTTCTGGTCCGATAAAGCTGCTTGCAGCACCCTTCTTTGCAAGAGAGTCAGCAGCCTCATTGCCTTCCAGGCCAGTATGGCCAGGAATCCATACCAGAGACAATCTGTTAAGTTTTCCTATCGAGGAGAGTCGTTTTTGACAGTTTGCTACCAATTTAGACGTTGCTCGGTAGGAGCCAAGAGCTTCCAACGCCGCTTAACTGTCCGAGAATATTTTTATTGACTTGTGAGTGAAGTTGGATTTATCCAATCTCTCCGCACACAAGTCAATAGCGTAAATTTCCGCTTGAAATACAGTCGCATAGGTTCCTAAGCAGGTTAATATTTCCTTTTCCCGGAGGGTCCAGTCCTCTCTACTCGGGAACAGTACTTAATAAGGTAGTTCGTAGTTGACAGTTGGAGGCATAAAGTCAGAGGTAATTTCCAGAATGCTGTTACTTCCAGTGACAACCAACAGTCTGTTGCACTCTACTTTAAATTGATTTGTGCAATGGGGAATGTTCCTCCTGACGAAAATCAAAATATTTTTGAATTTTTGATATTTTTGAAAGAAATTAAAGCTGGGTGGAAAAACAGAATAAGCCCTTGAAGCTACTGTGTTTTCAGAGAAATATATCAAATGGGCAAGTAGATGACTCCCCAAGCAGCAAAAAAATGTTCTTACCCTTCCAGATAAAATACAATCCTTTCTAACAGGTGATAAATCAGAAGAATTATTGAAGTCAGGATGAATCATCTTGAAGAGTGTTATACTCCGGTCAGTTTCTAGATTTTCATTTTAGTAAGTTCATTAATAATTTCCACCATCTTATGTGTATCGAAATTATCCGAACATATATTCTAAAGAAGTATTTATACTCATTCTTGAGTTTTCAGGAAGGAATTCCAGGAATGAAATATATGTATGAAATAAGTTAGTTTTGAGTTCCATCCATGAATTGGAGATTTCATTTGAGCAATCAGAATTGATTTGTTCATATCTTATCATCAAACAAGTCATTGACAAACACACTCAATTAATATTATTATTATATTACTTACGAATTAAAAAAAACAAAATAAACTGAAGGAAGATCTAGAAATATCAATAAAAACTTCAACCCAGTAAAAATATCTGCCATTTGGTACTACCAGTTCCATTCCACTACGGCCTACCAGCCTAGATTTTGTTGTATCTAGTGATATATGTGATTAGCAAAAAAAATAGTAGCAAACTTTCGAAGAAATTGTATACAGACAAAACAAAACAGTCAAATTCAACTTGTAATAACATACTTACCTTTTGTAATGAAACCACGACCGCATATATCACAAACATAGGGCTTCACTCCTAAATGCCTATTTGTATGGTCAAGAAGTGACTGCTTTGTCTTGAAATTTCGACCACAAGTTGTGCAAGGATAAGGTTTGATGTTAGAATGTACCCTCTGATGCACCATGAGATAGCTTTTACATTGAAATCCTTTCCCACACGTTGGACATGAGAAATCATACTGACCTACGGAAAATATTGTTATTTGGAATCCCATATTTTCAATTTGTTATCAAACTGATTAGTCACATTGAGGTATGATAAATTCATGAAATTGTGGAATATTTTCTTTGATGAACATTTTTGGGATTGAGTTTTTATACTGTAGGTTCAATTATCTTATTTATTTACATAACCTCTGATACTAATACATTCATTTTCCTTATTTTTATTGACCTATCTATTTCATTTTATGAAATATCTAACTTTATTTTTAAATATGTAAATAATCTAGTGACACCACAATGTTATGCAGAAAGAACTATTGGAGTAGAGACCAATTATATAATTGAAAATTTCTCTTGGCAAGATGTCAAAATGATCACTATGGACGTCTTGACTAGAGATAAAACGAATATCCGGTATATATCCGTTATCTGGCCGGTATTCCGAATACCGGAATTTAAAACAAATCTATTTTCAGACAAATAATTGGTTGACTTTGTTAGTATCACCTAAAAAATACAATCGGTAATCACACAATAATTCTACAACACAGAAAATTAATTAGTACTCATACTGCATTGAGGGCAAACGATGGTGAATGAATACTAATTTCTCTGCATTAAGAGGTACCAAACGGTCTTCTTAATGAGGCCAGTTACAGAAAGAAGTATTTCGCTGTACACATTGCCGCAAGGTGCCAAAAGTTAGATGCACTACAATCTTAACCATAAGACAATGAATGAAACAATTGTTAACTTAGCTTATCAACGAAAAGATCCAAATTGGACCACCCTATCGTTCGCGCACCGCCTACGCAAGAGTGCTTCTTGACAGTGCACCAAATGGCAACGTTCTATCGAATATTCAGTGGCCAAATATCTGGCTACAAGGTTGACCAAATATCCGGTATACTGCTAAACCTCTATTCGTTTCATCTCCAATCTTGATATCATCTCAATCAATAGTTGCTAATGTTATTCAATACATATTGTGTGACCAACTTAATTGAAAGGAGTACAACATAATGGACGCCAGCATGGAAAAATCGGAAACCGTAAGAGATACACTGTTAGTTGATCTAGGGAAAAGTTACTCAATGTAAAGCTCAATTAAATAACGTTTCAAACTCTTGGAAAATCAGATTAGTTATCGTTTCATCTCCAATCTTGATATCATCTCAATCAATAGTTGCTAATGTTATTCAATACATATTGTGTGACCAACTTAATTGAAAGGAGTACAACATAATGAAAGCCAGCATGGAAAAATCGGAAACTGTAAGAGATACACTTTTTGAATGGATTTCACTAAAAGCTTGCAGTATGTAAGAATATAACAATGTTATTTGTAAAATGCTGATCAAATACAGAAAAAGGTATTTTCCGACTGATCATATGCCAAATAAACAAATAGTGTTGGCAACATTGGTAGTTATGGACGGTTTTCATATATAACAGATGTTATATGCTTGGGTAAACGTGGTCGTAGTTCTTCCAAATGAACTAAAATACATTACTGGATTGATTGGAATTTTCCAAAAATTGAACATGAAAGCGGCTTTCAAAACTGCTTGTACACTTCAGTAAGTGTTGGAAAACCTGAGAAATAGGATGAAGGAAACAGTAAAGTCTGAGATCATGGAACACGTTTCACATATTTGATTTCATACTAGACAAGAGAAGTTTAGTATCGTTCAACGTGTCCTAGAGAACGACCAGAGCATAAATGAGACATGTTTGAAATTGTTTTGATGGGTACATATATCAACAGGCTTTGTTAGATGCCTTTGAAGGTGCATAAATCAAAAAATATAGAATGAGAACAGCAGCAAAGATCCCATTCCGAACAGCCTGTTTTTTACTTTCTTGTGTGTAACAAATACAAATAAAAATCAAGAAAATATCAAATAAAATAACGCGTTATCATTAACATTTCAATTAAGAATTACGATGCAAAAACAATTACAATAATTACTACTGAGAACTTATTCAATGACCCTCACTTAATGAGGCTCGTGTAAATAAATAAAAGACTAACTTAGTCGAATTTAGTTTAGTGAAAGCATCGACACACAGTCCTTTAGTTTTGGTACAGTAAAAGTATTTTCATTAGATTGTTTATGTTATAACATTCAGTTATTTTATCAATAATGCTCACCCGTATGCTTAGCCTCATGCTGCGCCAGTCCAATTTTCGACCTAAACGCCTTTTCACACGTTCTACATTTATAAGGCTTCTCACCAGTATGCTTTCTCATATGTTCCGTGAGTTTATAATTGGTTTTATATGTTTTACCGCACTCCTTGCATTGTTTGGGTGGATTTTTTTTCTTTTTACTATCGTCGGAACCAGCCGCGTCATCCACTTCTATTTGGCTAATATCACATTTGGTTTCACATTCCTCGCCATCAGATTTTGATGCAGGATCATTTTGAGAAACTTCATCGTTTTTATGCTTCGTATTGAGAAACTGAAAATAAACCCTGTTGAAGTGAGTAATAGTCTAGCTATCAAAGAATCATATTCTCTTGAATTGAAAAGAAAAAAAGCATTTTGACTTTCTACTTCTCATCATTAAACAAAAAGTTTCTCACACTTTTGTCCAATGATGGAGAAGTGGAAAGCTAAAAAGCTTTTTCAACAAAAACTTGTGTTCTCAGTTTTGAGAACACCAGAAAGCATTCGAACTCTTCTTAGGAATTCTTGTGGTTTGAATTATTTATTCATACCAAGTGATACATGTAATTGAAATGGAAATTATTGGTGGTTTCAAAAGTTTTTTCCGTGTTAATGAGTCCACTTCAAATTGTAATATCTCAGTGATTACTTATTCAATACCCTTGTTGAGAATTCCACCAAAATATGTCTGTATTTTTCAAAGAAAACAACTCTGAAACCAAGCAAAATAACTGAATGCGGCGAAAAGCAGTTGAATATAGATTTGTTATAAATTACGCTCTTGCCCCGTAAAGGTTTAAATAAAGTTTCATTGTGCTTTTAACTGGCATGTACGCTCTTGCCCTGTTTTGACGGGTAAGTGCGGATTATTGACATGTAGTGAAATTAATTTTTTGTTATTATGTGAGTATAAAAGTAAAAAACGGAGACAGTGATAACAAATTTTCCGAAACAATACTTACATAATGCTTTATTCACCAGTGATATAACGTATTCCTGTTACACATTGAAAATTTATAGGTTGAAGTCTAACTTTATGAAAACTAATCTGCACTTACTTACCCCACCCCACCTTATAACAAATATTTTTTAGAAAATGAGACATTCAAAAACTTATAATTTTTATGGTAGGACTCCAGATATTTTTATTAATCTACTAGCATTCTCTGTGACTTCACGTAGGTACTTGACAATGTTTTTTTTTCTTTAATAAAGCATATTTATTATTATTTACTTGTGATGCACTGTTTGTAAACTTCGGTGTAGTAATGAATATTACTGAAGTTTTATCCCAACACCAAACCGTTATTTTTAACACCTCGACACATGTTTCAATCACCAAGTGTTTTGCGTGTTCAGCGATTTTCTATCGAAAAAAAAATCAACGAATTTGCATCAAATTTTGTTTGGGAAATATAGTGTCCGACTGAAAGTTCGGTTTCGGTCGAGTTTCGGCAAAAAAAAAACGGGTTTCGGTTTAGTTTCGGCGCCAAACCTGTCGAAACTACGACCGAAACTGCATTCGGGAGTTCCCGCGCTGTGATCGGTCATGTTCGGCGCGTTGATATCATACAAGCGACGAAGACATTTTGCCGCTTCCACGTGCCTAATCATGTCGTGACTATTGTGATATTAGGTAATAACTCAAATAAGTAATGTTATGTTTAATATTTTTGAAAACCCATCAATAATATTCAAAAGAAGAATCTACACCTACTCAAATAAACACCTCACCTTAAGGTGCAATTAATATTTTTTCTTGAATAAGGGTTTTTTATGTTGATTATCAATAAGTAAAAATGTTGACGAGTGCATAACGTTGTGATTTAAGATAAAAAAAATAAAGGCTGACTGATTATAATAACGTTTTCTTTATTTTTTCCTCAAAACATAATCCTTGTAAGGAAGTTTCGGTTTCGGCCGAAACTGAGACCGTTCCCGAAATTCGTTTTCGGTCGTAAAAACCAGTTTCGGTCGGACACTAGAAATGAAATTGAGTGCTCAAAAATACTTGAAATATTAACAGTGGCATACGGTGATTGTACTGTGTCAGAAAAATGTTTACAAGTGGTACAAGCTTGCCCTGGACCCCCAGCACATTAACAACTGATATAAATGTTGACAAATTGAAGAAAATTGTTATGGAGAATCGTCGAATCACTATTAGAGAAGTTGCTGAGGATTTTGACAAATCGGTTGGCTCATGCCAAGCAATTTTTTCAAAAATTTTGGACATGAAGCCTGTTGGGGTTTATCCCCTTGAATTCGAACTCCAATTATTCTAAAACAAGAAAAACTCCAGTGTTTGCCGTCTGTATTTATTGTTAACTTTCTTAGATTGTTACGACACAACATTCATGGACTGTATGCTATTTTACTCTGCTTGAATCACACAAAAATTTTATTGTAAACACCACTTCAAATATCTAAAACCCAACATAGGGCATGGGTCAGAAATCTACCACCTACCTACCTAAGGATGATGCAGTTGTTCGATAACGAGAAAACATTCGCCTACAAATACAAAACAGTAAATGTTGCCCGATCTTGAACGTCTACACAAAATATAAAGAATTATGATATTCTGACCAAAGCCTATGGCAGCGAAGTTCATTCCAAAATTGCTGAATTTTGACCAAAAAAACCGTCGCATGAGCATCGGTGATAAATTGTTGAATGATGTCAACGGCGATCCAAATTTGCTTAAAAGGGTCATAACTGGTGACAAATCATGGGTATATGGTTGTGACACTGAATCCAAAGTCCAGTCTTCCTAATGGAAGAGCCCAGAAGAGCCAAAGCCAAAAAAAGCATGCCAAGCTCGATCAAATGTCAAAGATTTGTCACTCTTTTCTTCAATTAATGTGACGTTGATCATCAAATCTTGCCACATGGTCGTATAATCAATAAGGAGTATTATCGTAAAGTTATGCGCCGCTTGCGAGAAGTAATATGAAGAAAACATCTGGTATTTTGGAAAAACAATTCATGGCTTTTGAATTACGAATTATTATGATAATGCACCTGCTCACTTGTCATTTTTGGTATTTTTTGGCCAAAAACAACACTGTAATAATGCCTCAGCCACCGTATTTACCAGATTTGACTCCCTGCGACTTTTCCCTGTTCCCAAGATGGAAGAGACCTATGAAAGGACGGCGTTTTGCGACGATTTACGAGATAAAAACCGAATCGCTGAGAAGGCTTAAGGACCTAACAGAAAGTGCATGTCAGAACTGCTTTGAGGATTGGAAAAAACGCTGGCACAAGTGTATTATATCTGAGGGGGACTATTTTGAAGGGGGTAAAATAGAAATTGTTGAATAAATTATTATTTTTTGAGAAAAATTGAATTCACCTCATTGTTTGAACAGACTGCGAATATAAATAATTGTACCCACCTTTGGATCTTCGATACACATTCTCCTATGACTATTTAGAACTTCCTGATTAGTGAAAACTGTTGAACATCCCGGACAGTTATAGAAGTGACTTCCATAATGGGAATCGAACTGAACTTTTTGGTCATATGATTTTCCACAAATATTACAATAATACCAGTCCTTGTTGTTGTGTAAGATCAGCATTGGATCACTATTATCATTGAAATTATAAACTTGTTTATCTTCAACAGAATTCTGACTGGTAATGTCATTCAGCTGTTCTTCTACTGGAAGAGAGTGCCTGCTATTACTGTCTTCATGCTTGTAGTGTTCCATATTTAGTTGCTGTGTAGTAGGTTCTGCAGAAGATAGCTCTTGGTTCCTATACTCGTGAAGATTATTACAATTGTGAGTACCATCGTGGATTTGTTCGTCTGTTGGTAAAGACTGTCTGCTGTTGCTATCTTCTTGCTTATAATTTTCCATTTTAACTTCGTTATTACTAGAATTCGTTGTAATCAGCTTTGTTTCTTCATAATCCAAATTACAAATATTTTCACATTGAAGTTTCACTTCTAAGTTATACCTCTGGTTTTCTCGATCTGTACTATCAGCCTGTTCAACAGAAAAAAACAAAATGTTTATTCAAATACAGAAACGAATTCAGTACCATACTTTTTTGTGTATCTTACATAATTTTCCAAAATAAAGAATCATGTCAAAATCAATAATTTATCACAGGTTTCTTAAATTCTCTTGATTACACCTTACAGATATATGTCACTTCCTAATAATTACATAAATATGGTATTTACTAGAACCTGGAAGGTATTTTTCCTGAAATAAATTTCATAAATCAGTTGGGACTCGTGCGAAAATATTTCTCAAGGGTTTGGTTCGCAGGTGATTCATATCAGGAGAAATGGAATAACAAAATATGCCAGGCTTTTGTGTTGTGTACCCATCAAAAATACTTTATTTGATGTTATTCAAGTTCTAATAGTTTTACAGTTCAAATTGATTTCATAAGTGAAATTGAGCAACAGACAACAAACGTGCTGAATACGTAATGCACAGGAAAAAGAAAATCTCACCTAAAATTAACCGGGCAACCATATTGAACATATTAGCAATAAACTTTAGTTACTGTCCAAACCAAAAGATTCAATAAAAATCATGAAACAAGTAATATTTAGAGGATATGCTTTTTTCAAATTCAAAAAACCGTCCAGTTGGCCATTACAATCTAAGGATAAGCAACTCTTCATATGGCATTACAGAGAGAACGTTTGATATCTCGATGCACACTTAAATAAGCTAAAAAAATACTGAGGTCATCATAACGTGAGTTGTTAAATAAGAAATCCACATATTTGCATTGGTGAACACTCATAATGAGAATATCTTGCCTACACTTCCATTTATGACAAGAGGGCTATTTGATGGAAAATTGTTCTAGTTATGAATATAACACTAACGTATTCAAAACACATTTTATTGTGAGATTTTCACTGAACAGTTTTACAAAAAATATAACAATGTTACCACAAATTGATTATTTTCATATCTATTGGATGAAAATGATTCTCTAAAAACAATCTTAAGAGTTCATTACTGTAAAAGAGTTTTTATAATTTTTTTTTATTTTTATTGTGAGTAATAGAGCAACAATTGTGGCTTTTAAATAGTTATCTCAATGATAAAAATAAAAACAACAACTTATATTGTTTTTTTTTATTGTTATAATGACATGTCACTTCCTTTCAGAGGAATTTTTAAAAATAATTTTATTTTTAGAGGAACTTTTACAAATTGAATGTACACGTTCACTGTAACTACTCAACATGAAAATGCTGGAAAAATCGCTCTACAACTACTTTCATTCAGACATTATTTTTCAAGTATATTGCTCGTGATCCAGACCAACATAGTTCTCTCAAAATAATTCTTGTAGTAAAGAAAACAAGCAATAATTCTAGGTACAGAGTATAAAAAAACAATATGGATTATGAAAATTTACACGATAAAAGTGAAGATGGACATCTAGAACTGAAGAAATCAAATAGGAACCATGATTTTATGATAGATGCTACATTAATTTCAAATCATTGTGATTATATTTGTGAAAAAATCAAAAAGTTTTTTCTCTTGTTTTCTCACAAGTCACCTTTACTATATAGAAACTGTTTACATACTTTAGAGAGGATATGAAGAATAAAATGAATCAATCAATCAATCTGGCTAAATATGACTATTTTTGATGACACTGATGCTCAATCATAAAATATATCAAAAAATTTGGTCCAAATTTTTGCAGCTTATCAATGAACAATACCAATACTTATAATCCACTTCAACTGGATTTATAATAATTTGTCAGATTGATTATCTGTTAGAGAGAATTATACGTATCTATTCTTAATTACAAATATTCTTTCGACATACAGAGTTTTGAAGCCTAATAGACAATCATTGCATAAAAGATGCTAAAAGTTTGAATTATTTTATCACCGCAATAACCACTCACTTGAAACCTACTACTTTTGTCATTCAATTAGGGATGACCACGGAGTCATCTTCATCTAGTTTTGATAATTCGAATGCCAAGTTCAAGGAAAAAACTCTGAGAAGGCTCTTCAAAATGAGTTATAGATCCAAAATGTCAATGAGCCAGTGAGATAATTTCACACCAGAAAATGTGTCCATGCATACATTTCCCAAGATCCGAAACTAGCAACACATTTGTGAAATGAATGAAATACAAATTTCATGTAATTGAATATTCTACTTTAGGTGTGCATATAAATGAATGAAATATACAAAAACAAAAGGAACAAATTTGCTACAGTTACTCCCTGTATAATAATATATTCATTTCAAATGCAATAATTGTGAAAAGATTTGATTGTAAATATTCATGTAGAGTATAGAAGCAATGTTTGATGAGGTATGCTTGATAGCTCTTTTGAAATTTCTACTACTTTCCACTCATTGCATTTCAATGTCTCTATTCTTGCAAAATCTAAACTGGTTGCTATTTAAATAGTTAATTTAAAATGTTTCAGAACTTGTAGACAGAGCAAATACTTTTCTCTCCGCTGAATCCTCTTCCGTACACAAATATACATGGCTGACCTCTCTGTTTGGAACTGAACCTTTCGATCCTTTTTCAATCTTGGTTAAATATTTAATGTTTCATTTAAAAAATACTGAATCAATAATTATACCAGGATTCTATTCATCTTGAATGAGACATAGGATTAGAATAAAAAACGTAAATATCTCCTGATCAACCCAATGAAAATTCAAGAGGAAAAAGTAGATTAAAATCTTACATTATTTGATAGGGAAATGTTTGTGGAATTTCCCTCAGCCATATTCAATTGCAAGTCATGGTGAAATCTGAACTGATCAGTCAGCAATTGATGATGTTGAATCAAACCAAAATTATCTGGAAATTTTGAATCTTGAACGTTCATTGCATCAATTCTAGAATCTTGGGTGTGTAAACTTTGATTCGAGTAGTCCTGATTACTTAAACTATGATTATTTATGATGCTGTCCATGGAGTGTGAATGAATATCTTGATTCAAATTAATAACTTCATGTTCAGCTACCATTCCTTCTCGTTGGTCTAATGTACTTAGGTCGAGGTCCGATACATTTTGGTTGTTCAGTAAATGGTGATGCTGCACCATCATCAGGTCATTGTCATTCATAGGAACTAAGCAGGCATGAAGAGATTCATTTTGACTACTAGATATTTCTTTGAATAATTCAAGTAATATTCTTTCTGTCCTAGCAGAACGATCTCTAAAATCACAGAAAAGTTCAAGTTTGTACAGACAATTCTCACATATCATTTTGGGAAGCTCGTCAGCTTCATGGACCTAAAAAAAAGATTTTTTATAACCACCAATGAATTTATATTTGTCACCTTGTACCTGTATGGGAAGGCAAGTATCCAGCTTTTTACTAATTTGTCGTAATGTGCCTTCATCTCCAAATATATTAATTGATAAAACCATTGATGTTCTGGTGGCACAGATCCTGCAAAGTTCTTCATACCTCGAATTTTCCATTGCAGCAATTTATCAACTAATGAACAATATTAAAATCCAAGAAATGGATCGAATGAAACGAATCATAGCAGATGTTTATAATTTTTTATGAGTTTATGTTTGCTACAGAATAACATTTTTTCGAAAATATCTGGAACCATCTCAAAAACAAAAATATTTTAACAAATGACAGAACAGAACAGATGACAGAAACACGAATAGTAAACAATATTCTGTGACAGAACCACAGAATTGCTAGTATTCTGTGACAAAGGAACAAATGACCTTCTAAGAATAAATATAAAGATGCCTTTCCATATTTTCCATGAAGCCAAACAGGGGCGGGCTGGAACCAAATTTCATCGAGCTAATTCCGTTATAGTGCTTATCTTATGACCGAAATCAATTTGGTTTCAATATGAAGCAATGGGGTACCTTTCCGGAATTAATATTTGAGTATACGAAGAATACTCAAATATTAATTCCGTATTAATATTTGTATTCTGTATTGATATTTGAGTATATTAATTCCGGTTAGGTTAATAAAAACCATTTAATTCTGGGTTTAGAATCGAAAGTTACGAAAGTAACATTTAATTGATTCAAAAAGGGCTTTTATGTTGCCTTTAGTGCAGCATTTGTAAGATTTTTATCCTGGGCGTATCTATTTGCAAGGTAAATGCGGGAATTGCATATGCATTGTGCATGCAACAAAAATAGAAAATTCACACACTATACCTTCAAACATATATTATATAATGAAGAAAAAAGGATAGAAACTATAAGGATATTTTCGAACATATATATTAATGTATAATGTATAAAAGTTTAAAAATGTCCTTATAGGATGAAACTGCAGTATCGTTAGTTACAAATAAAAGTGGTAAAAACATGGAAAGTTTCTATTCTCTTTTCTTAATTATGATTTCCTACCACGTAGTAACGGCTACATCCATCAATTTATATATTATATAAATTTACCACCTCACAAACTATTACAAAATAAATTTTGTCCGTTCAGTTGAAAGAATGATGGTTATAAGTGAAAAAAATGATATATAGAAACGTTTCGAAACATAAATAAGAACAAAATGAGAATAGAATTGTGAATTTACAGTTTTTTTATCAAGTAATATTTAATTAAAGAAACGTAAAAAAAGTAATACAAATTATGGAATTAAGAAACAACACAGTTATAAGTGTAAATTTTGGAAATGAAGTGACATTATATTTAAATTTACTCTAATCTCTGCCTATATCCTGTTACAGACACATATTATCGATTTAATTTAGAGTTGTCTATAGGTCTACAAAGCTTCGAGCATGAAATGTAGAGTTCATTTCTGTATTTTTCCTTTCTCTGTATCATCTGAGATCTCTGCTACTTGAAACTGTGTATTGGGTAATTTTAGGTAAATGTATGGATTTTTCATCCATTCCTTTTCCTATTTTCGTTTTAACCTTTGTTTGTATTCTATCTGTCACTTATCCTTATCTAGCACGAGAAGAGATAACGGACCAGTAAACATCAAATCTAATTAAGAAAACAGAATCACACGTTAAAAGGTAAGACCTCGTTAATCATTAGCTCGCACAAGTTTCGACTTCTGAGGGTTGTCGTTCGTAGGGGTGCGACAGCTGGTTAACGGAAAAACAGATTTTAAACAGATTTTTTTAAACAGAAGCCTTGGATTACAGCATGATTCACAATCAGACCAAGCTGTAACCATCCGAATCGAGCTGGCTAAATGCGCCTATAGGGAAGCAAAGGCCAAGAACTTTGAGTGAAGTGAAGTGATAGTTATAACTTCGAATTAACCTCAATTGTAAATTTATAGTTATAACCGTGTATTCACAGTTATAATTGTGAATCATATAAACAAAATAAAATTAAAATATATGACTCTTCTCCAAAATGAACTTTTGAAAAAGTAATATGTTGCAACATCTCTTTCAACGTTAACTCGCTAAACAAACTTTACCGCTCCAAATAGCGAACAGTTGGCAACACCTTTTTTCTTAAATCTTGAAATAGTTCAAATGTAAATTCAAATCGAGTATTTATATTAGTGACAAAATTTCATGTTTTTGAAGGTGTGTATGTGTATTGATATGGCATGCTGCATAGCAACGGGAATTGAACCATTATAAACATTCTCGATATAAAAGAATACTCAAAATGGAACCAACCCTTTCTTTAGATTTTAAAACGCATCAATTTGAGTCACCTGGAGATGAGAATCCCAATTCTAAAATATCTGAAATGACTCGATTGTCAACACCCAAGCCCATTATGCATTTGGGATCTTCTACAGAGGTAAGCTATTAAAAAACATCTCTTTTTTTTATATATTTTTTTTGTTTTCAGTTTCGTAGACAAAGTTCCGCTGTGCCAAAAACACCCTTTAAACCTGGCACAGGATATAGATCTGGAACAGGTTTCAAACCGACTACTAATTTTGCCAAACCAGGAACTGGATTTAAGCCGGGGACTGGATTTCGGCCAGGCACAGGAATGGACATTGTAAGCAGACCTATGACTGCAGTAAGAGGTGCTGGGTATACATCTCATGGAAAACCTTTCGATCCGCTGAACCAAGCTGCTTCAGTCCCAACTCCTCCACTAGAGTTACAAAAAGATGATTCGTTAGTACCTTGAACCGTATCTGCACCAAAACACTCAGCCTTTTTTGCACTTTCTCTGTATAGGAGGTATAAATTATTTTATTGATTTTGTGTGACTCAAAAATATTTACCTATTTGCTCAATTTTCTAAATTGATAGCTTTTCGTGAACTCTAAAAATATGGAAAATTAGTAGAAAATTTATGTGAGTTTGGACTACCGAATATATTCTGCACTGTTGAAAACAAAGTTTTGTGTGAATAATGAAAATGACAAACTTTTGAAAAATTAAGTATGAGGGGATCGATACTTGTCATAAATGTATTTTATACATAACATCAAATAAATATATCTATCTATCTAAGATTTTACTCCCACCTTATATCATTTAGTATTTTGAGTTCATTTATCTCTATATGTTTGATCTAAAAATAATGGGATGTTGATAAATCAAGGGAAATGCTTTTGTACAACATTAGCTAAAATAAATAACATCTCCTTCAACTATGTTCTTTGACAATGTCAATTTAAATCAACTCAATGAAACAATTACATGTTGTATATAGAAATTTACCTGTTGAATTAGACAGGTGTCACAGTTATATTTTTTATATAAATGAACATAAGAATAAAAATCAAGTGTTATAAGTCAGTTAAAAATTCCTCAACATTGTAGTATGTTTTCGAGTTTTTTAGTTTCTTATGAGAACCTAACGGGTTTTTGCATTCTTTAATCAAATTATCTAACTTGTTGAAAAGTTTATATCCATTAAGTTAGTTTTTAAGGTATTACTGTAGTTGTTTATTTCTTTTTCCTCATGGGAATCACCCATACACATGAATAAATGAATAAATTTTAGACCCGAGGAAAGGATCAGACAGCAAGAACTCAAAATAATGCAGTTGGTAGAGGAATCGTGTATTGCACAATGTGAAGGTGATTTCAGGAAAGCTCTTACCAAAGCTAAGGAAGCATCTAATAAAGAAAGAAGTCTCATTCGACTACAGGAGCAATCTGGATTAGGAGAGCATCATAACATAGATCTAACATATGCTGTAAGACAACTTATTTATTTTCAGGAAAAAATGTATTATTATTTCAATCTAAACAAATTACAATTTATTACTTGCTAGAATTTTTGCTGTTATACCTATGGGTTCTGTATAAGGAATACAGAACCCAGAGGTATAACAGCAATTAGCAACTTTTACTTATGAGTATAAAATACAACTTATTATATTTAAATTGAAAGGGGGTATATTTTTAGGAGAGATCAATTTTTGGGAAAGAAAGGCTTTTCCATCTCCATCTTTATACAAAAAAATGTTGGAATATATGTTGACGATGATAGCTTGCTTCAGAGAAACAGATTGACATTTACAGTCACTTTTCCAAAGAATGAATAATATAGTATAATAATAATGATGTTATTATTATTCTTACATTTGCAATATGTATAATGTGTGCCCTCAAGCTTAATTTTCAATTCCGAGAAACTAGCAATAACTTTGTAAGGAAAAAACATAATACCTGGTCGACGTTTGAATCAAGCAGTGCCTCCGTGGTTCAGCCTAATACTACTTATGACACTTGGCGAGTCTAAACAGCGCTGTCTGGTGTTGGATAACGAATGCTTTGTTTTTGAACTATGGTTTCATCTGGTTTCAGTTGTGTTCCAAAGTAGTTCATTTTTATTGAAGTATATTGTCAAGATTAAGATGCAACATTCGGTATATTACTATCAAATTTATATGTAGTTAAATGGTGAGATGAAATTGGATTCACTGAGATACTTTTCGTAGTCAAACAGAATGTAGTTAAACGTCATCAAGGTCTAAGTGTACACAAGATAAAGTCCTGTTCCAGTCCTTTTCCTGATCTATGATTTTTTTAGGAATACGTGTTGGGAATTATTGAAAAGTTATGATATAGTTCCAGTGGATTTGTTAATTTTGTAGATAAAACTTCTTCAACAATTATTCCTGACTTTTTTGTTTCAGATATTATTAGGTGCCATTGTAGCACTAACGTCGTCCACATCAGCATTTTGGCTAGGTTGGGGATCACCCGAACAGCAGTAAGTATAAGGGAAATTTAAAACTCACTATATTTTGCTGCAGTTAGTCGAATGGATGCAATAAAAGATTTTCAAAAGGGTTCAATACGATTTCCACAACTAGAACAACTGACTAAAAATAACTTTATCATTAAATGATAAAGAGTATAATTGGTTAGTATGTAAAAGCTATAGAAATGAAGTAGTTAACTTATTGAAATTTAAAAAATCTGAATATTATAAACGAAATATTGATGAGTGTTCATCTGACTCTAAAAAAATGTGGCAAACTCTCAAATCCTTGATCAAACCCAACAATAGTCCCATTCCAGACGAAATAATATTTGATGCGCAAAAAGCAGTCACAAATCGAGATAAGGCCGAATTGTTCAATATTTTTTTCATTGGAAGTATACAAGACATCAGGTTAACTATTCCTAATTCCCAACCCTGGTCATGTATAGATCTCAAAGTAATCGAATGCAAACTATCTAAATTCAAAATGCTTACTATGAAAGAATTAAGAACAATCATATCTAGTTTAGATAACAAATGCAATGCTGATATTATCAACAATAAAGTTCTTAAGAGTATTTTTGAAGTTGTAGGTCATGTTATATTGAATTTTGTAAATACATCTTTGAAAAATGGTCAATTTCCTGAAAAGCTCAAATTAAGTACTATAGTTCCAGTACCTAAGGTTACAAATACTAATGAAGTCTGCAATTTCCGCCCAATAAACACTTTACCACCACTTGAAAAAGTATTAGAACTAGCTGTATATAACCAATTCAGTACATATATTGAAAATAACAATTTATTAATGGAATATCAATCAGGATTCAGATCAAAGCATTCATGTGAATCTGCCCTCCAACTTACTCTGTCCAAGTGGAAACTATTAATTGACGAAAATAAATTTATAGTGGCAGTATTTTTAGACTTNAACCTTTGGAGTAGTAATGAATATTACTGGAGTTTTTTCCAAACACCAAGTCATTATTTTAACACCTCGACACGTGTTTCGATCACCAAGTGATCATCTTCAAGAGGAAGATCAAACTAATCATACTTACAAAGATATTCCTATTTATACCATAGATAACTGTTCTAGGTACCTGCGTCTTGAGTGTCTTAAATTAATTTCACAATATTGCCTTATCAACTAGTCATAAATTAATTTTACAATGTGTCCTTATGTAATAGCCAGGTAAATCTAATAATTGAAATAGTATAAGCTATATAAAGTTAATTTCACAATATTTCCTTATCTACTAGTCTTAAATTAATTTTACAATGTGTCCTTATGTAATAGTCAGGCAAATCTAATAAAAAAATGATATTTTAACAAGCTATATAGTATACCTACTATTAGGTATTGGTCCTCCATCGTTATTCATAATAATAATAACGTTTGTTAACAAACTATGGTTGTTGAGTAGGATTTCATAAAACATAATCAAAAGGTACAGGCAACAAACTATTGTTGACTAAATAGAAATCGTTTATACCTGAATTTAAATGCATCATAAGACAACGAAAAGTTAGTTACATCCAGGACATCGCCGAAAGTCGCTATATTATAAGAGAAAGATCGTTTGTATACTTTTTTTTTATGCTTGGGTATAGTTAGCATGTTCCTCCGTCGCAAGTTCAAATTATGCACGTCAGTCCTAAATCCAACATTTTGGGGGATTTGATTTTTCAAAATTTTGTAAAAAAACATACCATATGATCTTATTTTGATAGAACTTTTTGTCTGTCCATAATATTTTGCATCGCAGTCCTAACATGTAATTTCGTAAATTCCAAACTTTCACAAATTCTCGACTTTATCTTTTGGACTCCCCAAAAGGCTCTGTAGTGTATGACCTGTTTCAAAAACCACCTTCATACCTAGTTCTTCGAAAATCTTTCCAAAGTTCTTCTTGTATTGGTAGTATGAAACTGAGATATATTTATCTTGGTTTTTGTCCATTTTAAAAGTCGAGATTTCGTTCATTCTTAGCCTAAACTTGTTCTTCCTTATTATGTCATCAACAATATCCCTCGAGAAACCGTGAGCTGCTGCTATTTCCTGTACTGTACGTTTTTCTTTTGTGAACCTCTCGTGTAAAAGGAAAAGTCAAAAGACGATGCACTTGAACATTCAAGCAAGCACGTTCACGGTGATATGAACTGTCAGGAATATACCTGTACGTGCTTGTTTCTTTTCTAGACACATCTTATTCTAACCCTCCATATTGGCTCCTCATTACCAAAACGAAGAAGTTTGAAGATTGAATAGAACTCGCCGATACTTGATGAAAATCCATATTTAAAAAACTAATCAATAGAGTTTATTCTATGATTTTCACTATAAGGGTTTTACAAAAACCGCGATACGTGTTTCACAAATAGATCAAAAAACCACCAAAAAAGCGTGAAAAAAATGAACGATCACCGAATCACAATCGAAGAAGTTGATCATGTTGGGTATGAAATCTGTGGCAACGAAATTTGTTCCAGAGTTATTGAATTTTTGAACAAAAACAGTGGCGAATGGAAGTTGCTCAAGAGTTACCAAATGAAATTAAAGCTGAGTCGCCCCAGTGGAGCCATTATAGCTCGCCAAGACCGAAAAAGGCTCGAAAAGTGCGATTGAAGTTCTTCGATTTCAATAGCATGGTGTATCATAATTGTCATGAGGACCTGCGTTCAATAAGAAGAATTACCTTCAATGGCTTAGCACCACGATAATACATCTGCTCACACTTCATTGATTGATTAAGGATTGTTTGGTCCAAATACAATACTGCAACGATGCATCACCCTCCAAATTCGCAGACATGAGCCCGTGTGACTTTTTCATATTTCCAAAAATGAAGAGAAATTCAAATAGCCGTCGTTTTACAAGTAAAGATGATATCAAAATCGCATTGCTGAAAGAGCTAAAGACTAACCCAAAGATCGGGACTGGGGAGTGTGGAAATGAAAAACAAATACTCAATTCTAATCACGTTCTAAGGAAATATTGCATTTCTCTATCAATTTTCTTCTTTTCTGCTCTCTAAATTTCCAAAACTCACGGATAGACTTCACTGTGATTCTTACTGACAGGTTTACAAAATCGCGACACTTGTCTTGCCATACAACCAGGACCACTTGATGAAGCAGTGGTTTTATATAACTGTTCAAAGTGAATATCACAATAAACGGTATCAGTAATTTGTGATACTGATTTTCATCAAGTGTGGGCTAGTTCCATTCAATTTTTAAAATTTCGTTTCTAATGCATTTTCTGTTCGATTGAAAGTTCAGTTACTAAACTCTGTTTATCTTCATTTTACGAGGGTAGTCCCAAAAGTACTCTGCTTCATCCAGAGATGGCGGTAATTGTTTGAAAAATATCACTGTATTAGAAAGAACACAATTTATAAAGCATATGTCTCAAGTCTGAAGACGCTGCATTGTTAAGTATTTGTTTGGCAGCCATCATTAGCGAACATTCTCGGTGAATTTGTGGAAATGAAGAAAATTAATCAACGTTTTGTGGTACAATACTTTCATTCGAAAGACTTCAGCCCGACCAATATAAAAGCTGAACGAGATTCTACTCTGGGTGAGTCTCCTTTGTATACAACAGCCAAATATTGGGTATATAGCAGAGTTTAAATGAGGTCGTACGAGCTGCCAAGACGACCATCGCAGTGGTCGGCCAAATGAGGTGACAACTCCAGAAACGGTGAAGAAAAACCACAAAACGGTACTGAATGATCGTTGACTGAATGTATGCGAGCCAGCGTACTTTCAAAAAGTGCAGTATATAGTATATTTCCTGAAAAGTTGGACATGAGAAAGCTTTGTGCAAGATAGTAGTCGCGTTTACTCACACTCGAGCAAAAGCAGTACCTACCGTGAAGATGTTTCAGTTGAGTGTTTAGCGAAGTTTCACAGCAACAAAGCAGAATTCTCACGTCGTATCTCACAAATCCATTATCACAATGACCAACATTAATGAATTAAAATTTGTATCGTTGCCTCATACACCCTATTCGCCAGATTTAGCTCCCTCGGATCATTTTCTGTTTCCAAACTTGAAAAAATG